ATTTGATCCTAAAGTGATGAGGCCCTGATGGCAGCCAGTACAACCTTCTAAATCCATGTATTTATAACATGCGTAAACTTTAGTGCTCAGAGGATTCTGCATAACATTTAGCAGTTTCTCCTTGAAATGTAGCATTTCCATGATGAAAAAAGTACAGAAAGCAGAAATTCAGAAGTCCTTTCAAGGGAGTTGGGAATAGGTTCAAGGCAGGGTGGAGAAAAGCCTGGAAAAGCATATGAGTCCAGTAAACTTTCTATAGATTATGAATCCATTTCCTTGTGTTTCCATTTAGAAGTTTCTGCCAAAGAACTCTATAAAACCTTTTTCCTGAGTTTAATGCTTTCCTACTTAAATGACAAGTCTCTTGGTGCTCTGAACAAATACAATACGTGAGCAACTGGGGACTGAATCTGTCCAAAAAGGATGTCCTGCAGCAAACAGCTTGCCCTATACTCACTTCTGCACACCTTCAAGGCTAATCCCCACACTGCAAATAACCTCCCTTCATGAACACACTCCCTCCTGCCGGTTGAAACTGGAGGCTCTAGAATCATTGCTCTAGCATTACAATTCCATGAGCACTGCTCCCGAACCACTTACCCACTTTGCTAATGTCTGCCAGACACTGCCTCCTTCAGTCCTTGGGTACATCCTCTTGGATGGTCACCTTACTGTCCTAGGCAACCAATGGCTGAAGTAGTAGTCTGTGAGGACAGGCAGATCGCAAGTGTGGCCAGCAGCCACCAATATGTGAGCTGACAATTTAGCACTGGGAGAAGCCATCCTAGGTACCTATCTTGGAAAACAGACTCTGAGAACAGAAATGCAAGCTCTCCTATTTAATATTCATTGGGAATTATCAGTGGGTGGAGAAGTCTGGCTGCTCAAAGGAAGTTAGTGGGTAGCGCTAAGGAGAAGATCTGTCAGGAAGATACTGGAAAGTAAAGAAAAAGGCTGGAGAATGATGCAAGTATGGTCTTAGTAAATCTCAGAGTGTGGAGTGATTTTCTGACCTCTAGTGACAACTCTTCCACCTCTACCGCCTCCCCCGCCCACCGCCAGGAATGAGAGGAAGCAGAAGTACTTTTTCACAGGACTCCTGCCCTCTCCGATCCTTAGTCCCTACAGGGTTGTCATATATTCATCAGACAGCTTACTTAAATTCATGCAGATTCCTGGGCCTCGGCTCTAGCTTCTGATTTGTGTACGGCCTGGGAATGTGCATTTTAACCACCATCCCAGAATATTTCATAGATGTTCTTTTTGATCCTCTCCCTAGTTTTGTGATTATCAATTATCTAAGTTTTACACACTTAATCTTCTCTCTTTGTATGTAGTCACGTACAAAGGTAACTGCAAACAAAGACAGAAAAAAGGCTTTGAGACTCGATTTCCACCCATGCGAGAGTAACTGGTACTACTAGACTTGCCCTTTTGCTATAAACAACTAGAAAATTGGAGGAAAAATATATGGTATTACTGTTTCCAGACACTGGATAATGGGCAGCCTAGGACTGTGATTCCTGAGAGCAGGAAAACAGAAGTAAGCCCTAGGTCACTAGCGGTCATTCCTGGACTCTGGCACAGCTTGGGGCAGTCCTACAAAGAGCGTGGAGGTCTCACTGAGTTGAAGAGGGACTGAAGTTTAGTGAGGTTAAGTGGCTGAAATTTTAGAAGTGAAGTCTGAAAAGACTGGGGTGCTATGAGGAGGAAAAGCTCTAGAAGTCAAGACTGACTGGATACTGAGCTATGCCTCTGCACGGTGAAACTCCATAAGCCTGAGCAGACTTGGGCACAAGCCCCTTGACTTAGAGGGGGTTACGCATTATAATATTTCAGACGAGATCTGGCACATGCAGGGTGGTATGGCCGTAGATATATGCCATATGTATTTCATATGAAATACATTATGTATTTCAATGACTACTGTAAAGGTGTGAGCTGAACCAACCCCAGCACTTACACAGAACTGGAGGAGGCTCAGCTCCACTCAACCACAGTACAGAGATCTCATTGATCAACCAGGCATTAGTGTTTAGGGCTAACTCTAGACCTGCCCTAATAAAGCTTAAAAACAATTCTCAAAATGATCAAATTGATTGAAAAAAAATATTAACTGCTTACCAAAACAAATACAGATGTTCCTCAATATACAATGGTTTGACTTAATGCATTTTCAACTTCATGACGGTGCAAAAGCAATACATGTTCAGTACGGTCCTTGACTTAAGGGGGGGTTATACATTATGATATTTCTATTTATGTTACAATATTTTCAACTCACAATGGGTTGATCCAGATGTAACCTCACTGCAAGTTGAAGAGCATCTATATGTCATTCTTTAAAGGAAGACAAGATCCAGATTCAACATAACTATATTCACAATGTCCAGCATCCAATCAAAACCTACTAATCATGTGAAGAAGCAGAAAACTATGACTTGTAACCAGAAGAAAAATCAGTTTTAGAAACAGACTCAGAAAAGACAGAATGGAATCAGCAGCAAAAGAACATGAAAACAGTTAATACAGGCTGAGCACCCTAATCTGAGCATTTCAGATTTTGATTCTGGGATTTGGGATGCTCAACTGGACAAGCATAATGCAAATATTCCAAAATCTGAAAAAAATCTGAAGTCTGAAACACTTCTGGTCCTAAGCATCTGAGGGATACTCAGTCCATAAAAAGGCTACTACCAAGGATGTAAGAAAAAGTAACAGAATGAGAAGATAATGGAATACTGTAAAAAAGAACTAAATGGAGCTTCTAGAACTGAAAAACACATATAAAATAATAATTCACTAGATGGGCTTAACAGCAGACTGGACATTGTAGAAAAGACCAGGTACACAGCAAGAGAAAGTATCCAGGTTGAAGCACGGAGAAAAACAGTAGACTGAAAAACAAACAAGAAACACCAGCCTCAGTGACCTGTGGAGACAAGTGTTTGGACATACAAGAGTCCCAGAAGGAGTGGGGGTGAAGAAAAATATACTTAAAGAAATACTGGCTAAAATTTTCTGAATCTGACAAAAACTATAAACCCATGGACTTAAGAAGTTCAAGTAGGATAAACACAAAGAAGACCTCGCCAAGGCACATCATGACCAAATTGCTGAAAATAACTGATAATGGAGAAGAAATCTTAAAAGCAGATGGAGGAAAGATACATTACATACGGGGGAACAAAGAGAAGAACAACGATTGTCTTCTCATCAGAAACAATGGAGGCCGGGCAAGATGGCTTATGCCTATTACAGGCGGGTGGATCACTTGAGGTCAGGAGTTTGAGACCAGCCTGGCCAACATGGTGAAACCCCATCTCTACCAAATATACAAAAATTAGCCAGGTGTGGTGGTGGGCACCTGTAATCCCAGCTACTGAGAGCCTGAGGCAGAAGAATTACTTGAACCCACAAGGTAGAGGTTGCAGTGAGACGAGATTGCAGCATTGCACTCCAGCCTGGATGATGGAGTGAGACCCTGTGGGGAGGGGAGGGCAGGAGAGGGGAGGGCAGGAGAGGGGAGGGGAGGGCAGCAGGCCAAAGATAGAATATACTTAAAGAAATATTGGCTAGGCCAAAAACAATAAAATAACTATTTAAAATGCTAAAAGAAAAAAATTGTCAGCCTAGAATTCCATGTCTGGTAAAAAGCTGAGGATGACATTTTCAGACAAATAAAGCAGACAGACTTTCTTGCCAGACCACCTGTTCTAGAAAATAATGATGAAGTTTTTCAGGTGCAAGGAAACTGATACCAGATAGAAACTAGGATCTACACAAACAAACAAGGAGTGTGGAAATGATACAAATAAGTGTGTCTAAAAAAAAGGCTTTAATAATTTGGGGCCAGGCACTGTGGCTCACGCCTGTAATCCCAGCACTTTGGGAGGCCGAGGAAGGAGAATCACTTGAGGTCAGGAGTTCGAGACCAGCCTGGCCAACATGGTGAAACCCTATGTCTACTGAAAATATAAAAATTAGCCAGGCGTGGTGGCAGACACCTGTAATCTCAGCTACTCAGGAGGCTGAGGCAGGAGAATCGCTTAAACCTGGGAGGTGGAGGTTGCAGTGAGTCAAGACTGTGCCACAGTACACCAACCTGGGTGACAGACTGAGACCCTGCCTCAAAATAATAATAACAACAGCAATAATCATTTGGGTCCCAAGCATAATCTTCTCCCTAGAAGGCTTCATTTTAGAGACACACACAAACTTCACCTTGCCTCCTGATGCTTGAACACAGGCTTCTACTCTGCCACAGCTACTTGCCTTTTTAGTACTGCTTTCCCTGAGTTTATGTTAATGGCCTAGTTATCTAGCCATTAACTAACTACTCTGCGTTGGGCACTGGAGATGCAAAGATAAATAACACGTGTTGTCTGCCATTAGGGAGCTTAGAGTCTGGTGGGAAAACAATCAAGCCAACAAAGAGTTAAAGCACAGTATGTCCTAACCATGCACAAACCCTAGTTCTAGTCACTTAGCAACTCTGACCTTAGACAACTTTAACCTCTCCGTTCCTCCGCTTCCACAACTGTAGAATGGGGATAACAGTAATACTACGGGGTTGTGGGGAGAAAATGCTTTAACGTGTGTAAAGTGGAAGGACAGTGCCTGGGACAGAGTCAACACCTCGTAAACATTTGTTAGCCGGGTCGTTACTACAGTGTTGGTTTGCCAAGGAGGTCAGAGGAGTGTGGAGAAAGAACATCCGGTCAGAGAGGGAGTGGGATGGGAAGGGAAGACGTTTCAGGGGAAGGGATGCTTCTGCTGACCTTTTGAAGGATAAGCAGTGTTAGCAGATACAGAAGGGAGGGATTCTCTGGATAGAGGTGGCAGCATTCAGCAAGGCGTGGAGATGTGAGTCAGTGTGTGTCGGGAGACCACTGCAAATGTCTTCAGTAATGCTGCAGCCAACAGTGTCTTAGCTACAACCTGAGAAGCGTCCTGGGGCCTCTCTAGAAGACCTTTTGGCATCCTCCCAGAGCTCTTACCTCCTTCGCAATCTGATCCATTCAGGCTCTGCTGTTTGAGGCGAATACTGCCCCCAAAAAAGAAGAAAAGGAGAGCAGAAAATGAGTTTCAAACACAGAAAGGAGCATCCCAAATGCTTATTGTATCCATTCTTTCTCCTAGATGAAAACGTCCCTGGACCTGCTTTTCTCTTTCAACTTGGTCAAACCTAATTAGGCCACTGGGTATGCCATGTGTGGTTGCACAGGCTGTGCCATGTGCTACCCCAGAGGACAGCAGCACATAGACTATGACACGAATGCTCCCTCTGCCCCGGGGAATGGGACACTGGGTGGCCCTGCCTTCACAGCCAGCTTTATCCAGAAAACTTCTTTCTTTTCTGATTCAAGTCTTATGAGAAAGCTAGGCTTAAAAGCTGGGATTGCTTCTCCCCATCTATATCAATAATGCAGGAGGCATGGGCCAGGTACCCTGGTATCTGGACATAGTATTCTAAAAACCACACAGTGGGAGACAGGACATGGGCATCAATGCCAGAGTCCAGACCTTCAGCTGAGGAAGCAGGATTAACCAAACCTCGGATTCGTCAGGCATAAACCACTCTAGCCCCAGACTTCTAACGCTGTGGTCAACATAGGTGGAACAGATGAAGTGCCACCAGGACAGCACTGCTGACCGAGATCAACGTGGGATACCGTAAGAACACTGGAAACGTACTCTTCTATTTCTTCAGCAGCTTTCCTCCTAAACCTGAAAAAAAAAAAAAAAAGAAAAGAAAAGACAAGGTTTTTGAGAGCCCACTGGTCTCAGGCACTTGGGTAGTATCTTGAGGGGGGGTTTCAAAAGCGGAGGCAAATGAGTGTATCTCAAGTGCTTTATGTGTCTGCAGTCCTCTTTAGAGGAGAGCCCCACAGCCGGCATGAGAGCGCTGAAGATGCTGTAGTGCCTTCTACAGCTTGTATCGGCCTAACTCCAAACTGAATTGTTGAGAGTTTAAGCGCAGATTGAGCGAGAAGCTTAAAATTCAAATAGATACAGGTGATTGCTTTTCTTTCAGCAATTAACTGACTGATTTATAGAGCGTTTTCTTAGGACTAAGGCTCGGGGTCTTACTTGTGCCGTTAGCTGTCAGCACCTGCAGCTTCCAACGCACAAAAAGAGATGTCCTAGACTCGTGTTCAGGCTTCAGCCTTAGGAACTGCTTTTCCGTGTCCTTCACACAAAGGAAGAGGAGACCTTCTGAGTGATGCTGGGTGAGTAGTGCCAGGCCGGGCTGACACACACGCGTATCTACGGCAGTGGGTCTCACACGCTAGTGTGCATAACAACCATCCGTAGAGCCTGTTAGATAGCACGTCGGTGGGCTTGGCGGGGAGATTTCTGAATCAGCTGGTCTGGGGGAGGCAGAGCCCAGGAATATGCATTTTAAAATTCTAATCTAAGTAGGTCACTACTCACACTTTGAGAAACACTGATACGAAGTTTTCTACTAAGACTGGTGAAATGTTGATGATTATTCAAGTTGAATATTGAATACATGGTGATTACATTTCTTTATGTCTGAAAACTTCCACAATTCTGTTATTGTGGGTTTTCTGTTTGTTTTAAATGAATTATTTTAAGTCAGAAATCTAGCACCATGATGAGCAAGAGCAAAGGGTGGGGGCAAAGAGTGGCAAATGGTCTGGAGGCAGGAAGTAGACCTTGACAGGGGCCACCAGCCTCGCCAATAAGAATAAGAACTAGTTTCTCGGAGCCAACCAAAAATTCTGGCAAAACACAAATAACTCCCCTGCCAAAAGTATAATTCTACATGTATTTTTGGTCAATTAAAAAATGAAAAATTCGGCTAGGCACAGTGGCTCACACCTGTAATCCTAGCACTTTGGGATGCCAAGGTGGGTGGATCACTTGAGGTCCAGAGTTCGAGACCAGCCTGACCAACATGGTGCCCCGCCCTGCCCCATCTCTACTAAAAATACAAAAATTAGCTGGGTATGGTGGCAGGCACCTGTAATCCCAGCTATTCAGAGGCTGAGACAGGAGAACTTCTTGAACACAGAAGGTGGAGGTTGTGGTGAGCAGAGATCGCCCTGCTGCACTCCAGCCTGGGTAACAGAGTGAGATTCTGTCTTGAAAAACATTAATGAAATAAAATTAAAAATTGTAAAATAATTTTTAAAAGTAAGGCAAAGTTTAAATGGATTGCTTTCCATGGAACTTAATTCTCTAACAACTGTACTATTTTTAAAAAGAAAGAATGACGGCTGAAGTGAAGTAGGCGAGTGGGTAGGTCAAGCTGGAAGAACAGGGTATAACAACTCTAAGGGAATCTGCCAGGGTGCAGTTTTCCACCCTTAAAGAGAGATAAAGGAGACTCAGCAATGAGGGTTAGGAGGGCCGAAGGGGACAGAATGGGCAGTGGGAGGGCACCAAAGGGAAAGCACTGCAGGGTGCCCAGGGCATCCCCGGCCTGGTGTTGCTGGATGCTATAGACTTCCAATGCCTGTTCTAAGTCAAGGGAATCCTAAAGGAAGAGCACCCAGTAGCCACCAAAGCTACCTTCTGTCTGTATGAGAGAAGAGAAGCTGTCTTCCCAGCTCACCCCATTCCCGAGGACCAATGCCTCTAATTGTCCTCATGAAGTTAAACTCTGTACCCACACTGTCCAAATGACGCAGCTAATGTCACCATGGGTAGAAGTGCTTGGATGAAAAGAGGGATAAGGGAAGAATCCTGGGATTAAAGAGGCTAGGAAGACAAGCTGGAGCCTTCGCTGTGTGCATAAGAGACACATTCATCTCCAATTACCCTCAGGAGTTATGACCGAATCGTTCCTTCCCTACACAATGTGCGGTGGCAAAACCAGCGGCGATTCTGTCTGAAGGAAACAATAATGATAATGCTAATCTTTGGGGGGAGGCTGATTAATTGCCATTTATCCACTCAACATCCAAAAGGGGGATGAGTTTAATATTCAGCTTAATTGCTGCTGAGCCCACATCCTGTTCTCTCTCCCTCTAGGGGGAGCCCAAGGACTCTCCCCCTTCTCTTTTCTCCCAGCGGAGGAAGGAGAAAGATTCAGTGGAGTCCTCAAGGACGGGCAGCAGGGATGCCCTCAGGTGGCGTGTTCTCTCTCTCTTTCTCTGCCAGAAATAACAGGTTCTGGGAGAGCGCTGAGTGGGAGGGTGTGCCCGGCCTCTGATCTGGGTCACAGACGGACACTGGCTGCTTCCCAGCCTCATCTAGCTTGCAGATGAGTTTGATCTAAACCACACTGCTGTCTATTTTTTGTTTTGTTCTGTTTTAATGTAAATCCATTGCCAAAATGGGGAAATTCTGTATAAAAATCCAAATTTCTGGACTCTTAACTTTTTAGTTTATCTTTAAACTGACAATACTGGATGTGCACCAGATGAACCCCAGCTCCCCCAAACCCCGCGTTGCTCCCGAACACTGGGGGTCCAGAACCAGTCCTGAATCATGGAATCCACACTGCTGGTTTTCCAATAGGAGTGAGGAGTCTGGCAAAGTGTGTCCTGTAGCTATGCAGCTATCGAATGTAATGAAAGAATCCTTTAAATTAGCCTGCTCAGCCATGAAGCTGCCGAGTACTCAGTGGTGCACAAGACTCATCCCAGAGGCTTTTTCAATGTACACGGGCTGGGCTTACTTCTAATCCCCCGAGGTAGTAACTTCTAGAAATGGGACCTAGTCACGTAGATGAGACTCCCTGCCCTAAGCCTTGAGACATTCAGCTGAATACTCCAGTTGCTAAGCCGCAAAACTGAAACTTATTTGCCTTCTCCTCCCAACAAAAGACAAAGTGGGGAGCGTGTTTTAGGAAAACTGGCAGAGTATACTTCTTTATAGAAATGTGAATATGCAAATAATTCGTGTATGTATCTCAGGACTATGACTGAAGGTGCCATTCTGAAATAAAACCTCACTTTACAGATTTACTTTATCTGCCTGGTCCTCAAAGGCACCCGGGCTAGTGCAGTGATACAGAGCCCAGCAAAAGACACAGAAGCTAGCACGATGTTTTTTAAGCTTCAGGTCATGATCCACTAGGTGAGTCATGAAACCGGGTTAGAAGATCACCACCACCTTTTCTTTCCTTTTAAAATTTCTTTCATCTTTCTTTTTTAATAGCATAGAAAACACAATGTGGTGAAAATAGTAAGGACAGCTATTAGGTAGACGTTTTGTTTTCTGTTTTATATATACATATACCCAGTCATGAAGCATATTTTATTTTTTATTAATTAATTTCTTTTTTCTTTTGTTTTAGAGACAGGGTCTCACCCTTTGGCCCAGAGTGAAGTTGGGAGCATGGCTCGCTTTGGCCTCAAAGGCCTGGGCTCATGTTATCCTCCCACCTCAGCCTCCTGAGTAGCTGGGACTACACGTGCATGCCCTGTGCCTGGCGATTTTTTTTTCTATTTATTGTAGAAACAGGGCCTCACTATGTTGTCCAGGCTGCTCTTAAACTCCTGGCCTCAAGTGATTCTCCTGCTTTCACCTCCCAAAGCACTGGGATTATAGGCATGAGCCACTGTGCTCAGCCCTGAGTGTATTCTTAAACTACTGGTGACAGATTAAAAACAAGCAAGCAAGCAAACAAACAAGAACCTAAAACACAGCAGTCTACCACAGTCCACAGGGCAGGTAATCAGAGAAGCATCTGATGCGGAAGTTCCGCCTCCCAGACTGTGTGGGGACAGAGGTTGAGGTAAAGAGTTACAGGTTCAGGAGCACCTCTTCACAGATGCTTCATTCCCAACTTCTGAGGAAACTGAGGCTGCGGACGAGGCCTTATTTGAGACATTCAGCTGAATATTCCAAGTGCTAAGCAGCAAAACTGAAACTCATTTGCCTTCTCCTCCCAACCTGACTACTTTCTTCTAACAGAAGTGCTAATGAACGTGGACTTCACCTAAAGGATGAGGGGAGGAAGAAACAGCAAGAGGCCTGAATGGTCCACTAGGCGAAGTCTCTGTTCCTGAGTGATCCCAAAATTCATGCCCGAGTCGGCGGTGTTCGTGGAAATTGAGCAGGTGCTCTCCAGCACACCAGACCCAGAGCAAGCCAGATCCGATTAGACATGCTTGTTCAATATTCAAAATGTAAAACATAGAGGCTGCTGAACCAGCACTTTGAAAAGTTAATTAAATGCCAGGTTTCTTTTTAAGAGCTACTCCATCACTCACTGATTGCTTTGGCCATTTTGCAGAATGAAGTTTGAACCCGGGACAATGAGAGTAAACGTTCTCTCTCACCTCCTCCGCCTTGTGGAGCTGGGTGAGTGAGGAAACACACACCGGCTGCCCCTCCCCATATCACGGCAGTCTCTGATGGCCCTCTCCAAATTGCCTAGAACGCTCAGCCACGAAGCTGCCAAGTGCTCAGAATCGTGGCCTCTCAGGTAGAGGACATGAAGGTGAAGGGTGCTGTCTTGCTGTTGTGACCTGCATTGAAAGCCGAGTCCCTCAGCCCCACACTCACCCAGGCCCCTCCAGGTCTTCATCCCAGCTTCTCTCTGACCTATGCTTAGCCTCTCCTGCTTGGTTCAATGCACCTACTCTCAACTCTCAGGGGAAAGAAAGCCCAGTCCCGGCCCCCAGCCCGCCCTTCCTTTATGCCACCCCATCCCCTACGAGTCTGCCCTGAGAAGGATGACAATAGTCAACACTTACGAAGCTTGTTAGGCACCAGCCACTGTCATTGTAGTGTCACTGTAATACTAT